CCCGGCTCCCCCCTGCGCCGCTCCTTCGGGAACCCATCCTCCGATGCTTCTGTTCCAAACGGTAGACAAAAACGCTCGTCAAAAACATTACATCGGTCTTTTAGAGGATCTTGCGTGGAGAGTTTACGTTTGTTATTCGGATTGAAATTTCGCGAAGATAAAGTTAGGTAAAATTAGGAATATCCGTTGAAATGGAAAAAATGAAATTTGGATTTAGGAATGGACACTACAAAGTAAGTAAACGTTTAAATATAACTTTACTCGATTCGCGATAAAGAGAATTATTGTGCAAGAGAATATTTGTCTCGAGGTTATTTGTAGGTCAACGGTGTTGACGAATAAGCTTTCGTTCGAGCGTACGGATTATTTCTCTAAAGTTTCTATTAGAAAAACGACTATTAGAGAAAAGGAAAGATTATTTGTACGATAGAGAGGAGGATTTTTAATTAATATTGCTCCCGTGTTTCGATCTTTTTATAAGCTAGAATTATTGATTCTACTGGCAAAACGTGTCGAGAATGTTCAAATGTTCCATCACTCTATAAAACACGGTTGCGCGTGTTAAAAAATGAAAAAATATAACGTGCAAAAGAAAATCGAATATTTTTCAAGGATATTTGTATTTTGTCGAAAAATTATTATTTTAATTTTACAAAAAAAAATTCTACAATTGTTATATATTTAAATAAATACACGTATTATTACTTCATGCATAATCCCTTTCAAACATTAATCCTCCTCCGTGAATAACACGCGCGAATAAAAATATAACTCTTTTTCCAGACGAGTATTAAAAACTTTTAACCGTCCCTACAAAAATTATGAAACGAATATTGATAAATATCGTCTCGTTCGACAATAATCAAACAATCGGTTTCATTAAAAACTACATTTACCCTCCTTTTTTTTTTAATAATCGATCAATGAAGAAGAAAGAAAAAATATTCGAGAAACTTGCAATGGAATTATTCTATAATTCCATTTTCCACGTTTACCGGATACGCGTAAGAGAGTTGGTAATAAGAACGTACGTGGGTCTTTAAACTTGGTACGGACTTTATGCGGAACGTATTCAAATTCACCGAATAATTCATGGTAACGTGAATTAACATTCTTAGCTTGAATTTATAGTTATATTACCGGTAAGTAATGTTTAAATATTATTTATTGCCTCGTAAATTTTATCTACGATGATGCACGCATACTAAATCGTAATAAAAACATTATACGATATACGAGGTGAAACGTATTATTATTATTATTATGAAATTTTAAATAAATTTTAACATGCGAATTACTCGTAAAAATTTTATTTGTCTCGAGAAAATTAAGAAAAAATGTATAAAACTTCTCTATCTTCTCGAGATTAATTTTCGAAAGTTCAAACAAACGAAACTGATTCTTTCCCTCTAAATCAAAAAATGAAATTAAGAAAGCTGAACAATTTCGTTCGAAAGTTGTACGTAAAAGTGAACGACTGGTATGAAATTGAATTGGAACGGGGATTATCCTTTTAACGGCTTGAATTTTCCTCGATTAAAAAATCGTATCAAGTAGAATTATACTGTTGAACGATGATAATAAGAAATTAACGATACGGCCAAGTTTGTTAAAGTCGAGAGATTACACGGCGCGTTCCTGGAACTCAAAAACCGTGCTAAAACTGGCATTAACCCGTGGCCCGAAAGGTGGTACTCGAAAGTTAGAGAATCTTGTGAGAAGTTAGAGCGGTAAATGAACGCTACGCGGGAATTTCGTAATTTGGTAGAGGAGGAGGAGGGGGTGGAGAGATAAGATGGCGAGGATCCAGTGGAAGGAATCTTTCCATTCATTACGCATTAAATTCCACCTTCGCTGCTGACAAAAGTTACGATCGAAGATTTAACTAGTTTATTCAAAATTCTTTTTTTTTTTTTTTCTCCTTCAAAAAATTCGATTTATTGATTTATCTTTTCTGATCGATAATTCTTAGTGATTAACTGTTATTGCTACGATTAGAGGGAGAGAAAAGTGGTTCCAAATGCGAAAATAAAGGATGAAATTGAACGAGGAAAATAATATTGGATAATTATCTTTGAGAAATTACAAAAGAAGAAAAATAAGTTTGAATGAATTGTAAAATCATATTTCGGTGTTCTCGTAATTGACGTTGCAATTAAAGAAAAAGTAATTTTAAATACGAGTCGGAAATAATTGGAGAAAAGGGTTTACGGCTTCGCCTAACCTTTTATCACAAATCATTTGGATTAACTTCCATGCAAACCTAACACGCAATCCGTCCAATTAACCCGTGTTGCAATTAGGGAGAGAAGGAAAAAAACAATTTCTG